AGTATGGATGAATGGAAAAGAAACCCAAGAACGATCCAATCTTAAAAAGGAAGGCGGGAGATGGGCTGAAGAAGGGGAAGGGAATCGGGGGGCAGACCCTGCGGCTGACTCGAGCAAGCTTTCGAGCTTGTCGCCTCCAGGGTTTTAAACCAGAGAGCCGGGAGATCAGTATCCTTGGCCCCCCCCCCCCTCCGACACGGACCAAGAGCAGAATGGAGTGTTCCTCAGGTCATGTGATGAGATCCAGCTGCTTGTGGTCATGGTTTCCGCTCGAATTGCTATCACAAACCCAGGCGAGGCCCCTTTGGTAACGGGTCGTGTCCTTCCCGCCCGCTTCAGCACGAGTGTCCGAGGACGGCATGCGCATGATATGATGTCGGTGCGCTCGGTTAGTCTGCAAGCCAAGATCACAGATCCCATCGTGTTTTGCATCTAGGCTATTTACAGCTTGACATATCCGCGGAACATTCGTTTAGATCTGATGCCCTAAATTTGGGAATCAAGCCCCTCGCTTATGGTTCACTCGACTGGGCGTGCAGGTGTGGAGGGCACCCAGGCACAGGAAGATTCTAAAAGATGATGCAGCTTAGGGCTTCGGATCATCACCAATTGCTGCAGGTAATGATGAAGCCGTGCACGCTGTCAACGTGTGACAGGAACCAAATGCGGCATCGTAACGCATGTGTTCTTTGACCTTTCCACGGTCTCGGTCTCGCACGGAGAAAGAGGACGTTTCAAAGACACTGAGGGTGAACCTCCTCAGCTCTCTTTTTCGGGGTTAACATATCGGCCGAGCGCCCCTGAAGTTGTTTCGTTTCACTAGGTCTCTGACGGATCCGAAAACCACTACGCTTCACACGATCTGAGCTTTAAGGCGATCTGCTCCAGCTCTTTGCTTCGTCCAGCTTCCTCGAAGAGACGAACGTTGAGTCACACGGGGCAGCTACGACACTTGATGGCTGCAGAATAAGGATGACGTTGGCCATGTTTGACTCGTTTAGAACAAGGGCTTTCCTATCTAGGTAGTGGAAGGGAGAAGCTTGTTTTGATCTGGCCCGGATGTACTCCACAACCCGGCCGATCATGCCGTCCGATCAGGAGTTGAAGAAACACTGGGAGAGAAAGCTTCGATATCAAAGGAGCTTAGTACAGTGATCATCACGTATGAATGGCAAACGCGATCAGACTTAGCCTGTGCAATATGCACAAGGAACCCCCACATTCCGGGTTTGAAAATGGTCGAGGGCCAGCTGTTGCAACATCGAGTTGTTGAATGGAGGGCGTTGGTACGCAGTTCAAGAACACCAATGTGGCAAAGGTAGTGGTGCAACTTTATGGTGAGCAAGCAGCAGTCAAACCGGCGTTCTGGTATGGTGTTTGTGGTTTTCCTCAAGATCAAATCGGTACGTTTCTGTCACAAAGTAGACTCGCTGCGGAAATCGATTTGTAAACAAGTGTTTAGCATTTTGACATTATCAAAAAGAGGGCTAGAACTGTGACCTGTTCAGTGATTACAGTTGGCAGACGGCCCATTCCGGCTGTCCTCTGTTGTTATGTAACGAACGTGAGTATTGAGTCGCAGAATGCTCAGCAATTAGCCCAGACAGCAAAAAGGGAAAGGGCATGTTATTGTCGATTTCCTTCCGTAAGATAGCAGGTCGCAATGATCGTACTCGGTCGCTCCGTTTCGATTCGCTGCCTTAATAGAGGATTCAATACTGAGTTTAAGAGAGTTGTCTAACGAGGGTCGGAAAGAGTTTCTCGGATCTGTCCTGTGTTTTAATTCCAATGCGTACAACCTGACACATTGTCAGTCAACGGCACATGATACCTCTGTAGGTTTGTGTTTGAAGAGTTGACAATTATACGTACGCACTTCTTGGACGGAACGGATAGAATTCATTAAATTTCCGCGACTTTCAGACAGAGAATTATCACTGGGCTCAGTTGATTTTCTTGCTTGGGCCGGATAGTGGGACTCTCTCCTTTCAACGTGCAACCCACTCCGGCATACTCGAGCCTTCCGACGAAGACTCCATGGAGTTCTTCATCTGGCCAACGGTGAGTCTATGAATTCGAACAGTTTGACTCAGCGACAGCCGTTACTTACTTCGAAGTCATGAAGAAGTCCGTCATTCTCAGTGACCATGGCACGAGGCACCGCCTGCACCACAACACCCGCGAGCAAAAACAAAGCAATCTTGACCCGCATTCAAAAGAGCTGTATTAGTAGGCAGGTTGATGCTTCTGGAACGTAATTGTCTTTCAGAGATAAGTACTAGGTCGCCAACCATTTTATCCTCCCACTGGGACGTTCACGGTAGTGCTGGAATATATGGATCATTGAGCAGTATTGCGATACGGTTGATCAAATGCTGCAAACTTTTGGTATTGAATATTGGGAATCCCAAGGGTTCATTTTCTGCGGGTCACATCAGATGTTTGAATTACTTGGAACTGATAAGCTCAAGGTCCCCGTGCAGAGAATCGTGCATGGTGTAAGAGATCCTCTGGCTGGTCCAATCATGAAGTGGTCATCCGCGGAGTAAGTCGACCCTGCCGTGAAACCAAAGTTTACAGGCTAGGAATGCTCAACATGCTCCTGAGATCTTGTATCGTTGACGGCGTCAGACTTCGTCAAGAATGGTCATCCTAGGTCATAGTTATAAGGATAGGTGATATAAAACCTAGTAAGACCCTGGTAATGTCTGTCGGTCTCTTGGATGGTACAGCGTCCGGCGAGGATGACTGATCAGAAGTCTGATATTATGGGCCGCTCATCAAATTTCACCGGCCGCCTAAGACAAATTTCAGTTCGTGTTTACAGCTATCTACGATCAGTCGCGTTTGGATATGTCGCATCGTTCGCAAACGAAGACATGTGCCTCGACCGTCGTATCGTCGTTCAATGATTGAAGCATGCTCATATGCCCAAGAGGAAGCATGTCGGATAACGTGAGCGGAGAATGAGATCTAAGTTGGGGCTTGCAGTATTTGCTGCCCAACAACCCATATACACCAAACGCGAGATTGGATTAGGATTTTCGGTTCGTCAGCCGCGTGAAACTTTGCATTGGAAAGTTGCGGTCCTCCGAAGGGGTCGTTGCTCATCAGCTTTGGTGGCAAGGTTTGAGACCCGGCAAGACCCCCCACAGCGTATCCGCGTTATGTGGTCAACTCAAGGTTCCATTGTGTCTGATCGTGTTTTGACCCCACCCAGTAGATCGGGCATTTCAACGCTTTTATTGGAGAAAATTTCCCGAATTATCCCAGCTATCATCTACATAGGAAGACTACGCGGGTCTTGGGCGGGTGTGATATCGGGTGGAGGAGTGGGGTTGTTCCAACTTTAATGAGATGGATGGCGCAGGGATCCAGTGACTGACCAGAAGCTCTGGGATTTCCCTTCTCCCGTCGGCTGAAATTTCACTGACTATTTCTTTAGCTGTAATTCTGCTATCTTATGGTGGTTTGTGAACAGCATACCCTTCATGGTGCCCTAGGCCGTACTGAAGCAAGCTTCCTAATATTATACTTCCACCTTTTTGGGGCTGGAAAAGGCAAGATCTTCATACAAGTGTAATCAAGTGAGGCAAAGCGCTTTGGACAAGAGTCTCAGCCAAGCCTAGATCAATTTAAAAGGCGTGATTGTTCGAATGTGACAGTTTCCTGCTGTCTTGTGCAGTGTTGCTGTCGGCACGGGCACAAAGCTATCAAAAGAACAGCCGACTAATACCAAGACAGCATCTTCAAGCGATCCTTTCACGAGTCTAATCATCTTTTGTATGTTCAGTCAGCCCTATACTTTAATCGACCGCATAATCTGCCCACTGATAGTTCAGGGACGATGAACCGATTTGTTGGCTCGTGCCATGACAGCTTCAAACCGAGAAGGATTTCATCTCATCGACATCAGACCAAAGCTCTCACAGAACCCACACGCCGTTGTCATCATTGCTACTGCGCCTAAACTCAGGGCTTGCTTCAGTGCTACTGTCGTACTAGAAACCGGATCCCAGTATAGCAATCATCCCCTTCACTCTTCAAAGGACTGGGGGACACCTTACGGATCTCAATTCTCAATCTAACATCAAAGATGGTTGGATCCGCTTGAGCAATGGGATTTTCCTGAATGCCCGATATGTAGCAATCTCAATATGCTGAGATACTTTTTTTTCCAGAAGAGTAGTTGTTTTGGGTACCCTGGTCCCTACTATCGTCATCCTTTGGCCGCGTTTGTCTTGGGTGTTACTCTTCCAACCGAAGGAGAAGACATACTCAATTCGAATCTTAAGCTATGACCCGCTGATTGTATATATTGTTGAGTTCCTGTCATGGGTGGAAAAAGCCTATTTACGACGTCTTGGGTAAGTTCATATCACCGTCAAGTCTCTGTGGCTAACAAGCTCCTTACAGGAAGCCGTTATTTGAGAGATTGACAGTGTACAACAATGGCGCTCAAGAGATAGATATGGGTCGAACAAGCAGCACCGCATATCTTCCTGACGAAGACCTCTACACACCGACTGACAACCATTTTCGCAATCGTCGAAGCCACATGCGATAGGTGCGGGACCCAGTTCCCAAGGATTCGCATCAACTGGACATTAGAAGATCCAAGCTGGTGCAAATTTGTGGAATGTGGCGACGTCGTGGCCCTCTCAGTCAAGGCTATCCCTGGTAATGCATTATTCTGAAAGAGCTGGACGAACTCAGGGAGACTCGACCCGAGAACACTCTACGCTGGGTTAGCTCCTGAAAATGGTATCAAGACTGGTCTTAACATATGGACTCATGGCTAGATTAAGGTAGTTGATTTATGTTACGTCACTTTCGTAATTGGTTTATCGACGAGGCATTCGAAAACTTTGCACTGAACACGACACGCATCAAGTGAAGGTCGACATGTTTGCAATTGTGATTATATGTACAGAATTACATGACATAATTACAAAGCACTTCGTATCCAAGAGCCCGTACCCTCTTGAGCTCCAACTGACTTAGGTGCATTGCGAGTAGTACTGGTTCAAGACTGTGCATGTCGAGCCAGAAGCACAAACAGTCCCACCTGTCCATCCTTGTCCTCCACACTGACCATATTTAGGAACGGTTCCACTACCACCACTCGCGGCTGTGGTCGTCGTCGTTCCAGCTCCGGTGCTGGTCACACCCGCCGCAGTGGTAGTCGTCCTTAAGGTAGTCGGACTGCTGCCACCACTTCCTCCGGCCGGTGTTGCGCTCGACGTCGCGGTGATGCGGGCAGTGCTCTGGGCAACGGTCGAGGCAAGTCCCGAGACCAGGGTAGGGCCGGGAACAGGGTAGACTAGAGGGCTCGTGTAGAGGTTGAAAAGAATGCCCGGGTCGTCAGATTTGTACAGCGCCGTGCCCTTGACGCCGGCCGGGGCAAGGGAACCTCCTCCAGTGACCTGCAGGTTGAAGCACTGCGGGTACGCCTGCGCGCCATTGACATTGCCGCCAGAGTGGAGAGCAATGATCTCGTGACGTAGCACATAGTTGCCTGGGGCCAGAGTCGAGGGGATCTGGACGGTCCATGTGAAGTTGTTGGCCATGAGGACATCATCGGCCCACTTGCCGTTGGTAAGAGACATGTCAATCAGACCACCAGCATCAATCTTAAAGAAGTTGAGGGTGGTCTTGTCGACAGACTCGCAGTCACCGGTACACTTGGCGAGGTAGTCAATCACCGGGCCCTTATGTGACTCTGGCCATGTGTTCCAGATGAGCTGGATGTTGGTGCCCGCGGCGACAGTGGCGTGTCCGCCGGCCGGGCTTCCGTTCTTGTGGCAGATAATGTCGCCAGTTCCAAAGTTGACTGGCTCAACGAAGCCATTATCAGGGACATCGATCTTCCAGCCCACGACAGGACTCGTTGGGGGCGAGTACGTGAACGCAGGAGAATCCCAGCCGCGGTAAGCCACGCCATTGGCAACAAGCCAGTCGACGTGGCCGTGGGCCGCGACGGTGGCCGCCAAGGCGAGTAGAATGGAAGAAGGGAGGAGATTGCCCATGGCTTCGACGGCTCTGTAATTTGCCTGCGTTTCCGAGAATCTGGTTGATGAGCGCTGCCTAGTTCAGGCAGAATGCATTCTAGACAGGCGAGGAGCGTGGCATATATAGTGCTGCATTGGTAGTACCAGACGGCGCGTCGACAGCGTCGGAATCATGGCATTCGATATTAATTAATTGGCACGTGGGCCAAGTTCGTTAGTCCACGGTGAAGCCCAGAATCAGGCGTCGTGCCATCGCGAGGTAGTCACACTGACACGTTGGCGTAGCGTACCAGGCACAATCTCCGGGTCAAGAACAAGACAAACCACCCCGGAGAAGTTGTGTGTTTTCCATGTCTCGTTGGTCTCCCGCATTCATCCTTGCTTGAATACGCGGTAGGCACCTGTCACGAGCACATCCAGAGGGGACGCCATGATGGAGTGCATTCATCCGTAATGCCTGAATCGGACGTTTGGTATAGTGCTACCTACCACAGGAAGACTTGATTGGGAGCTGACAAAGCAGTTAGGTGGACATTCCGGAGGGAGGCTTTGTGTGGCCCTGAAACGTCGGTAGCGAAGAGGCGCCATTGGAAAAGAAAACTGCAGAATTAGGAAATCTCGGTCGGCTGCCACCGAGGAAATGTGACGACGCGCAGAAGGCCGGGGTTGCATCGGAGCACCGGAGTTGATGCTATATGATGATTGGTGGTTAAGGAAGGGAGGACCAACTTCATTTGGAGAAAATTTGGTCGGGATGTCAATCCTGCACTCCCTTCCGTCAGTTTGATCCTTTTTTAGTAAAGTGGTAAAATCTCGAGGAAGAATTTCGGGGGCGGCTTGCATACGTGTGGACTTGGAAGATTTCAGAAACGCAGTCCATCCACTGACGCTCCAAGATGATAAAATGCGAGATCGATGTCGCTTCTAAATCATGGCCATCACAGACAGGGAGATGCAGTTGATACTGTAATGCTATCATCACGTCTATAGTGCTTTCGTTGCATTTCTTGTCATGCTTCGATTTCGATGGCCCTTGTTCTATCGAACGATAGAGACCAAGGTTTACAAGATTTGCTAGCGGTGTCAAGCTTCCCTGTTCATGAGCCTACAGAACTTGAAGTTCTTGGGATAGATATCAGTGTGGCTACATTTTTCAATCTTTCCAATGGCATACCTGCCGGGTAAGGCGGAATGGAAGCCACCGGCTGTGTGAGTTGGAACCTGACAGAGTTGGGGCAACCATCAAGGTTGGGTTCAATAGTACTAGCAGTAGGAAACGTTAAACGACACTGGTATACAGCATATGAGCATTCAACACAAAGATCTATATGGATTGCCTGCTCGATACTGAGGCATTCAGTCGCTACCTAGACTACAGGATGTGATTATCACTCTAAAAATGTGTTGGAGCCTAGCCTTTGCCTCACAGCCAAGCTGCCCTTATAGGTATGTGTCTATGTAAATTTATGAAGTGCCAGAAACGAACCAAACTATGTGCAAAGTCTCGAAGCTCGAACGTGTCGCCTACTCAAATAGTTGGTCTCGTAACGAGCATCGTCTCCCCGATCTAGCATATCTAGGATTTTCGGCGAGTGCTCATCTTTGAAATAAGAAGCTGCTTCAAGGTTTGAGCAGTCGTGATGAGAATCACTGATTTATTCTCACAAACACTTCCCAACGTCAGTCGTCGACCCTAATGGGCATGGAATTTCATTGAGACCCGTTCGTTTGGTCTAACGGATCTGATATTGGGCATGCTGGTAGGTTTCCTTGCCATAAACGAGGCGACCAAATGGTGTAAAAGTTCTATGATCATCAAGCGATATGGAGTGAGAGTTTTGTGTTATCGTGCTTCCAGTGCTCAATTCCATATTCCAGCGAGTGATATGTCGATGCAATTCTCATGGCACAAAGGGATTTTGGTTAATTTCGTAATTAGACACTGGATCGCATGTCAAGGTCTGAGGCAGATCGAAATGGACCACACCAACTATGCCAGAAGCGGCACGGTGTGAACTAAGGGTACCTAGGGATTTTAGTCTCAAGGCGTTGAACTGACTGGTCTTTCAGGACTGGGAGTGAACGCATGACAGATAGTTGGTTGAAGTGAAAATTGACCGCGGCAAAACTGAAGAAATGACTTCAATGAACGCATGGGCCGTGGCTACACATTTTGTAAAGTCGTGCAAATCACTTTTGGGACAAAACGTGACAAGGAACATGAAGCTCAGAAGTGTCCAAGATCTCAAGATATCTGCGATTTGAGGTTCGCCTTCTCATCCTGAAAAACGTGGAGTATACAACGGAGCTTTATCCAAGTGTGTCGATTTCATCGCGCTTACCATCGCTTTTGATGTTCTCCACTGGTCGAGGATCCAGAGTTGTGCTTCCAACCTCATGTGCAATCTCATATGAATGCCGTGAGTTGAGCATGAGATTTATGAATGAGTGAGGCGGTCACAAAACACCGCACATTTCCCTCCTGAAGTGCTCCTCAACGACGATTGGGATGACTCATGACGTGCACTAAGATACGGAGGACGGACAGAGGCAGAAAAATCCCCATTAAAGTCATTTCTAGATCATTTCTAGAAGCATCGTGACTAATTGGCAAATCCCCTTTTGATTGAAGATCCGGGAGAGGGCACCGAAATAGGCCTTGAAACTAACGACGTGTCTTCAGGTTGCAGTGCTAGACCCCAGTCAGGGGGCGGTTTGTCACCGTGAGACAAATTAGGGTGGCATGAGCGGCCCCTGCATCAATGCGATCTCCGGGCCAATTTTGTTTACTTCACGTGATCTCCAGTGGGGGAATTTCCTCCCCCCTTTGGCCTTGGGAATTTCGTCGATTCCGAAAGAATTGATCACGACAACCTTGACTTTATCCTCCCAAAAGGAAGGGGTCAAGCAGTGCGGTAACACACCATGTCGACGACTAAACATGAACGGAACAACGACGAGTGGAAGGGCCCGCGACGGCTTCCCTCCGTCAAGGAGAAGCTGTCGAGCTTCGTGCGCCGCGGCCGGGAAAAAGCAAAGAAGACAACACTGTCTGTCTTGGGCGAGTCACGACAGGAGCGGCCATCCCTGGACGAGAGCATGAAAGCTCTCCCGCGGGTCCAGGTGTCAGATTTCGGGACCTCGAGTCTTGAGATCGACCTGCAGTCTCTCGAGGCTTTCCGCATTGCGCCGTCGCAGCCCGCGAGGGGAGCAGAGCAAGCGAAGCAGGTCAAGAAGACTTCTTCGCGGACCTCGACAATGACGCCAATCGCCGACATGTTTGCCAGAAAGGCGACAACAGCTGCACTCTCCACGGTCGACATGAGGACCCTCAACAAATCCTCACCGTCATTACTCACCTCTGTCGCCAGCAGCAAGCCTGCCGAAGCACGTCGCCCTGGTCAAGCTCCCTCCATGTCTTCGAGGTCCACTGTTGTTGCTACTGCTGCTGTACCAAGCACTGCATCGAGCGTGATCATCATCAACAACAGCTCGACCGGCCAGCCACAATCACACACCTCGAAACCCTGGCCACCACCAGAGACTCCCCGCACAGCTGCAGCACCCATTCGCACTCAGTTTTCCACGGCATCGACTTCGACATCAAATCAAGCCAACAAACTGCCCCTCCACGAACCGCCACGACGCGCCGCCTTCGTACCGGCCTACGTCCCGTCACGGGCCGCCCCAATCGTCACGCCAGTTGGGCCTGTCATTGGGCCCCACCACCAGAATGCCGACACCGTTGCCAGACAGCAACGGCTGCAGCACAACACGGAAAAGCGCCACTCGAATCCCTCAGGAATGCCCTCGTCGTCAACGACGACCACGACCGCCCCAGCGCCGAACAAGCTTCTTCTCGCAGAAATCGCCAACGCAGACCGTAGACGGTCTTGGCAACCGGCGCCGACATCGGTCCCATCAGCTGCGGGAACGCCAACGTCGTCCGGTCCACCGTCCGCATCTGCCCCGTGGCGAGGTCGCGATCTTGATGGCAGCAGCAGCAAGAGAGCATCATCCCGCATCGCCTCGGACCGCCTCGCCTGGATCCGCGAGCTGGAGGAGGGCAAGAAGAAGAAGTCGACAATCAATGGCGATCTTCCCGTTCTCAGGAACATGCAAGGCAGCGTGGCAGACAAGCTAGCCAAGTTTGAGCAGCAGAAGCAGCAGCAACAAATGCAGCAGCAGATCCCCCTCACCCGGTCCAACTCGACCAGGAGCCGCATCTCGTCTGTCGCCGACACCACCTTCTCCTCGTACAACGGCCCGGCCACCGCCCGATCGTCTCTCGATACCTGCCGCACCTCCTCCGTTTTCTCGCACTACGATGACTCGTTCCGCGAGAAGATGGAGATCATCACGGGAGCTGCCAACAAGACTGCCGACGAGGAGAATGAGGAGAAGCCTGCCCTGAACAAGGTCACGGCTACTTTTGTGCCGATCGAAAAGAAGGAGCCCATTGTGGCACCTGTCACCCAGGCTGCGGAAGACGAGAGCGCCGCAAAGACCGCTCCCGAGGATGTTGCGCCTGTCTCACCAGCAGTGGAGAAGATTGAGCCCGCCACGACCGATGCACCCATCCCGGCAGATGTTCCTCTTCCGGAAGACGTTGAAGAGAAGGCCGGCCCGATCGAGGTCCCGACCATCTCTGTGTCATCAGAGACCGAGAAGATTGAGCCCACCGCGAGCGAGGCTCCTCTTGCGGCGGATGTTCCTCTTCCGGAGGATGTGGAGGTCGAGGAGAAGCCCGCCCCCGAGGAAGTCCCGTCTGTCTCTGTGTCAGTGGAGAAGGCGGAGCCCATCGCGATTGATGCTGATCGTGCGACGGATGAAGCAGCAGAGGAGAAGCCCACTGTGGCCGACGTCTCCACTGCCGTTGTGGCAGCCGGCGAGATGACCAAGCCTACCTGCGCCGATGGGCCTCAATCCGTTTGATTTTGGTCACTTATCTTAGTTGGACGACAGAGTGTGTCCGCATTTTTGATTTCTTGTTTTATTTTGCATCCGAAGAGATGTAGGCGCGCAGCGCACAGTTTGATACCAGTAGAGCTTTCTCTACTCTTTTGCATGATATTCCCCCCCCACACCCCAAAGACAATTCGCTGAGACTAGATTCTCCAGCGCTGGGTTTTGTTAGGAGCGTTTCTATTCACCAGGCTTGGGAGTTTGCATTGTTTCTTGTGTACTAGCTGTAAGATGATAATGATAAGATGTCTATAACGATGGAAATTCAAATTGCCATGCACTTCGGCGATATTACCGAATGAAGTTACTTGAAGTCACGATGTGAGCTGAAGTGAGGGAACATGACTGATGTTATGCGTGTACAGTCAGAATTTTGTATACGTGTGCATTGATCATGTACTCATGAAGCTATCCTGGAGACATGCATTCCTGCGCGTGTGCATGTAACCGTTAGTTGCGTCTAACCAATGTCAACGACTTTTTACCCACTTGTGTCTCAATCCGGTCGTGAACATTCTTTAATGTCACCATTGGCATTGATTATATGTTTTTACTTGCTGACTCGAAATTCCTGACAGATGAAGACAGCTGCGGGATCATCCGATCAATCACCTTACATATTGGCATACATCATTCACCATCCCTAAGATGATGCAACACGGGCTCCTAGAATGCGATCCCCCCATTGAAACATGAGAAAACATTCAGATAATCCCCTTGAGAGGAGCATATCCAGCCGACGGCTTAAGTATCACCTGCAACCTTGACATATTGTTCAACTGCCCTTCTACTGTCAAGATGGGGGCTGGCTTATCAGCAAGCTCCGGTGACATTTCGCGACAAATTTCCCTTAAGTGCCCAGATAAGAAGGTGGGGGCGTTGCCGCGCTGATCGCAGTCGGCGCGTTCCGATTTTGCTTCCCCTCAACAACTCGGACCGGTCTGGCGGTCTCCATTTCCCCCGATGACCGGTCATTGCCCGCTTCACGCACCAGAGGTCAAACGACGGCGGTCACCTTGTTCGTCTGATCGTGTCCGAGTTGTCTCACCCTATGGCTTTTGCTAGGTCTGCTACCTATCAGGAGTTATCTTTTGCAAGTAATACTCAGTCACAAGTTGTGTTCAACGCGAGCGTGCGAACATCAGTCGAGTACCATGGAGGAACGTCGCGACGACGAACAGGGACTGGGAACAGATAAACAAACTGGACTCAACTCAGTGATGCCTCATCGATCCTCGAACGATCACGGAAGCATCGCAGCTTTTTCCAGTGCCCCTCAGCACACACTTCAAACTCCAAAGACCGCATTGGACACAAGTAAGTTTGAGCCAACTCATGCTCTTCGGTCTCGAAAGCCCTTTGGACGAGCTCTAATGAGACCCAGTAGACGATGAGCTCCACGACGACGAAATCGAGTATCCCGACGGCGGACTCCAGGCCTGGATGGTGGTGGTCGGCGCGTGGTGCGCCATGATCCCGCCGATGGGCATCATCAACACCATTTCCGTGCTCCAAGGCTGGCTGCTGCAAAACGAGCTCAAGGGCGTACCTGAAAGCAAAGCGGGATGGATCTTCTCTTGCTATGCGTTTTTCATCACGGCTTGTGGGGCACAAATTGGTCGGTATTCTCTGGAGTGCCGGTAACCCAACTGAGACTGACGATGGAGTCAATCACAGGACCAGTGTTTGACGCATTCGACATCAGGGTGCTACTCATCCCAGGCTCCATTGGCATGATTGCCTCAATGATCTTCCTCAGCTTGTCGACAGGTAAACCCCCTCACACCAGCATCGCACCGACAGTACCATGATCCGCATCAGTGCTGACACAACGCCTACGTATCCAGAGTTCTACCAAATGCTCCTATCCTTCGGCGTCTGCGGCGGCATCAGCGCCGCCTTCCTCTTCAACCCGGCCCTCTCCGCCATAGGCCACTGGTTCAACGAGCGCCGCGCCTTCGCGACAGGCGTAGCCTGCACGGCCGGCGGCCTCGGCGGCATCGGCTTCTCCCTCATCATCCAGTACCTCGCGCCCCGCATCGGCTTCCCCTGGGCCATGCGCATCATCGCCTTCATCTCGACGGGCAGCCTGGTCGTCACGAACCTCTTCCTCCGGAAACGCCTCCCGCCCAAACGCAAAGCCAAGGCCCTGATCGACTTTCGCCTTCTGCGCGACTCCAAGTTTGGCGTTACCGTGGTGGCCGTCTTCTTTGTCGAGTTTGCCGTCTTTATACCCTATTCGTACATATCATCCTACGCTATTGAAAAGGGGCTCGGCCTGCAGAAGTCCTTCCTCCTCAACGTCCTGCTCAACGCTGGCGCGATACCGGGCCGGATGTTACCGGGTTACATTGCCGACCGCGTGGGCGCCTTCAACACAATGTGCGTCACATCCCTCTGCTGCGGCGTCTTGATTCTGGGTTTGTGGCTCGCCGCCGGCGACGTGGACGCCAAGATCATGTCCTTTACCACACTATTTGGATTCTGGTCCGGTGCGGCCATCAGCTTGTCGCCGGTGTGTATCTCACGCGTCTGCAAGATTGAGGACTATGGCAAGTCGACGGGCATGGCGTACTTCATTGCCAGCTTTGGTGCGCTGATAGGTATTCCCTTGGCCGGGTTCCTGTTGAAGACGGGGACCGAGCCGTATCGGAACTTGATCATCTTCGCGGGGGCGGCGTACATGTTTGCATTTGTAGCATTCTGTGGTGCTAGAGGCATCGCGGGCGGGTGGAAACCAGCGTTGTTCTAGAGGAGGAATCGTAACTTGTGGATGAGCCCTCATAACCGAAAGTTAAGCGACGAGAAGAAGCATTTGAGCAAGTGGGTGATAGGAAAGGATGCCGAGAAAAGGGACTAGCAGGATTGATCGTGGCATTGATGGTAGCATTGATGGTTGCGATAATATTATCAGTAGCAGCAGCGTTGTCAGTAGTGTTAAGAACATAAGTAAGGTAGCCAGCTCGGTTACTTCACCCACTTGCCAGGGTACCGCAGCGAGATGGTGTCAACTATCAAGACAGAATTCATGTTCATGTTTCTCATAATCTATTGTCAACTAATCATCATAATTATTGTGCCTAAATGGTCAAGCTGTTCAATCATTTCGGCTATGATGTAAACCACATCTTGTCATTCACAATTCTTCGTCGGCCGAAGTGCGGGAATGCCAGACTCCACTAGCCGGAGATGAGATTCCTTTCCGCCACATCGCGCACCAAGCCTGCAATCTTGCAAGTGGGCTTTAACATGACTGATTTGATGGTATCCAAGACTGGTTACGGCATTCCCCTTGGCGAATAAGTCATTTCACTAGATAGTTCAATTCACTTTGACAACTTCTGTACCTCAACGAGCGGACAAGAGCGATAGTGAAGGGGCGTTAGTCAGACTGTGCATGTGGGCCGACGCTGTACTTCGCACCCTCCGTTTCCGTAGAACTACTATCCTGCAATTTGACTCATTGGAACGTAACAATTGCCGTTTGGATTCCTACTTAGCCAGAAATGGCAATCACTGTCCGGTGGCTCTGAAATGCTGTAGCGGGAATAAACCCAACAAACTCGAGACTGACCTGGGATGGCATGCGTATAAGAGGTGTATGCATTAAATGGGCTCATGCTGTGTACTTCAAGCTTTCACCACCACTAACATCCATTCATGATCACTCAGCTAGCGCTAAGCCATACCTCACACACTAGCACGGCTTATCACAAGTTGGAAGAGGAGGCGATGGCTGCCTGATTATAATGGACAACTCTTAATATCCAATCAAACATCGCGTAGCCAACATCACCAAACGTCAACAACACAATGACCCTTCAGTGCCATTTTATATAAAAAGGAACCCGTCTGATAGATCGAATTCACACTTGATAAGTCTATTGGCCAACCTAAAGAACTTCTTAACCTCCAAGAACGAATTTCAGCTTCTCGAATCTTGTATCACGCCATGGCAGACAGCGCTCCTAAAGAAGCCGAGCCGGAGCGGCGCGAGGCTCTTGACATCCTCGACGTCAAAGCCTCTCAGTTGGTGGATCTAATCAAGAAGAGCAAGCACTTCATTGCCTTTACCGGTGCAGGTATCTCTACCTCTGCAGGTGAGCTTTATCCTCCATTGATATGAGATGCAAGTTGCGCGATTCGGCTGGGCCGCCCTAGTTGTTTGGTCTACATAATCAAAAAAAAACATTCAGGGCTAGACAATGGTATCTTAGGAATTCCCGACTTCCGCGGACCTGAAGGTGCCTGGACACTCAGAGCCCAGGGAAGACAGAGAACGGGCAAGACGACGGACACGCTCCAGGCCATCCCTACCAAGACGCACATGGCGCTCGTTGAGCTGCAGGACCGCGGGATTTTGAAGTATCTCGTCAGTCAGAACTGCGACGGCTTGCACCGGAAGAGTGGAATTTTACCAGTAAGTTTCTGGCTTATCACTGCTGGGGTTCGGAGAGTTGACCAGACAATGGCTTACGCTTGTTATTACCCTTCGTCCAGGAGAAGATTTCCGAGCTTCATGGAAACAGTAACCGCGAGTATTGCAAAGACTGCGGTAAAGAATACCTCCGAGGTATCGTACCCCCTTTTCATCACCAAACCCTTATCATCACTGCAGATACTAACGAAGAACAACCAGATTTCCGCGCCGTAGCAACCTACGAAAAATCAATCCGCGACCACCGCACCGGCCGCAAATGCCCCCTATGCAACGGCACCCTCCTCGACACAATCATAAACTTTGGGGAATACCTCCCCGCCCAACCCCTCGCCCTTGCCCGCTCCAACGCACGAAAAGCAGACCTCTGTCTCGCCCTCGGATCTTCCCTGACCGTGCCCCCCGCCTGCACGATCCCCGAGACCGTCGGCAAGAAGAAGCGCACAAAGACGTACCCGAACGGCGGGACGCTCGTGATTTGTAACTTGCAGAGTACCCCGCTGGATGACCTGAGCGAGGAGCTCCGCGTATGGGCTACGACGGATGATTTGATGGATCGGGTGATGGAGAAACTCGAAATCCCTATCCCGCGGTTTGTGCTGAGGCGGAGGTTGGTGGTTGAGGTTGAGGCGGTAGGGGAGGAGAGGTATCAGCTTACGGCGAGGGGGGTGGATATCGACGGCACGCCCGCGAGCTTTCTGCAGTCTGTGAGGATGCAAGGGAACAGGCGCGTTGCACGGAACGAGCCGTTTACGATTCCTTTCCGGAGCGAGTTGGCTGCTGAGGCGAAGATCATGGCGGAGCTAGAGTTTATGGGACACTATGGCGAGCCTGTCTTGGAGATTGGGATGGAGTATAACGGAGAGGAGAAGCTGGAGAGGATGTATCTGCTGGAATATGATCCTTCGACTGGGGCTTGGAAGGTTAGTACACAAGATGATGGGACTTTTGCTGGGCGGGGTGGCACGGCCGGGACAGACGAGGACATGGAGGATTCGCTGATGATTTCGGCCGAGGACGCGGGTGTGCCTAGCCATATCATCGCCTCGTCTGCGGCCAGTGAGGTCATCGACCTAACTTCACCTTGAGGTAGCGTGCCTGCTTCTGGAGGACTGAATAACGAACGGTTGATCTGGCATGAGAAGAAGCTCTCTGCTGTCGGGATTTCGAAAAGGATTAAGTATATCATCTATCTCTTGATGAACGAATCCATCAATCGTAATGAGTAGCAAATCAGAAATGACATCCGGGAACAACAAATATATCATCAACATAGCTGCATGAAAGCAGCATTACTCAATTTTTGTAAGGTACGACTATAGCTATGAACACGCATTACATATCCCATATCCACAAAGTGTCGTGTGAACGTTAATTTTCATGAATTACACATTAAACAAAAGCTCGCTTGAACGTCCATTAAGCATGCGCATGGCTCGTATCAGAGCAGAGCTGCAACCACGACACCAGCGGCTGCGGCCATGATGCCGGAGCCAAGACGCTCAGCAGCGTTGGTGACCTGGACTGGTCCGGTGGTGGTCTTGCTGGGCGAGGCGACGGGCGTCGTGGCAGCGGGAGGAGGGGTACCAGCAGGAGGAGTTCCGGCAGGAGGTGCAGAAGGTGTGCCAGCCGGAGGGGGAACGGGAGTACCGGCGGGAGGGGTGCCAGCGGGTGGGGCAGGGTGAGTGCTCGCTGGCGGCGCGGGAGGAGTGCCAGCCGGGGGAGTACCAGCAGGAGGCGCCGGGTGGGTGCTGGCGGGAGGAGCAGGAGGGGTTCCGGCAGGAGGGGTGCCAGCGGGCGGCGGAGGAGGCGGGCTGCTGGGCGCGGGGTGCACAGTGGTGAAAGTGTGAGGCACGCTCTCGGTGACAGGGCAGATGGTGGTGGAGACAGGAATAGTCTCGGTGGTGGTGTGAGGACCCTCGGGGCAGTTGGGAGTATCAGGAGGGCACTTGGTGATGGTGTGGACCCTGGTAGTGTAAACCGTGGAAGTCGTCCAGGTCGTTGGTGGAGGAGCTGGGTGGGTGGGAATAGGCTTTGTAGACTCCTCGGTAACGGGGCAGATGGTCGTCGAGACGGCGATTGTCTTGGTTGTGGTAACAGGCGTGTGAGGGCAGTTTGTGACGCTGGGAGGGCATCTCGTCACGGTCTCGACAGTCGTAGTGTAGACGGTGGAAGTCGTCAGCTTGCTGGTGCGAGTCTTGGTGTGAGGAGGCTTCTCGGTTGTCGTGTTGGCGTAGGGGGTGGTCGTGGGAGGAGGAGGGACCCAGGTGGAAGACTTGCTGGGGTGAGAGTGATGGCTCTTGGTCGTGCTCTCTCCCTTGGTGCTGCTAACGGCAGTCTCGGTGGTACAATCCTCAGTTGTAGTAGGAGGGGGAGGAGGAGGGGCATGAGTCGTGGGGGGCTTGCTTGAGTGTGAGTGTTGGCTCTTGGTGCTCACGGTCGTCTCGGTGGTGCAATCCTCCGTGGAAGTGGGAGGTGGGGGAGGGACGTGAGTCGTAGGGGGTTTACTAGAGTGTGAATGATGGCTCTTGGTGCTCACTGTCGTCTCAGTGGTGCAGTCTTCAGTCGTCGTGCTGTGGCCCTTGGTGCTGCTAACAGCAGTCGAGGAGGTAGTGCAGTCCTCACTTGACGTAGAGGTGCTGTGGACCTTGGTCGAGCTGATAACTGTAGACAAAGTAGTGCAGTCCTCCGATGAAGTGGTTGTGCTGTGGACTTTGGTGCTGCTGACGACGGTGGAAGAGGTAGTGCAATCCTCGGACGAGGTGGAGGTGCTGTGCTCCTTGGTCGAGCTTACAGCTGTTGACGATGTAGTGCAGTCCTCAGAGGAGGTGGAGGTGCTGTGAGCCTTGGTGCTGCTGACCCGGGTGGACGATGTGCTCGTCTCAGAAGTGACGGGAGTTGAGGATGAGTGCTCCTTGGAAGACCAAGTAGTCTTGGTTGCCTCAGTGGTACTGACGGTGGTCGGGGGGGAGGGAGTGCTGGTAGTCCACGGGGCCGAGGTGCTGGTGGTGGGAGGAGCCGTGGTGCTTAAGCTGTAGGTGATGCAGGAGCAGGCAGAGGAGACAGCCTTGACATCTCCACCACAGTTGTTGAAGTCGGTGGGAATAGCAGCGGCAGCAGTGGTAGTTCCGTGGAGGAACTCGACACAGAAACCTTTGGCCTCCTCGGCGAAGCGTTCGTCAATGAGGTTGCGGTAGCACCCATCGTGTTCCTGTAATGGGTTAATGGAGAGTTCTCATCAATTGTATAGTTCATCCCATGAAGCAGTGATAGGCAATATGATATGGTGTAGTCAAAGTAGACAGGGGTATGAGGAGACGTACACAATAGGGGTATTCCCAAGCATTGACGGACGCCAGGGCAATGGCGCCCAGTCCCATGTAAAGGCCGCGCATATTGAATCTTGTTCTTTTGGAAGCGAATGACAGTGACTTTGAAAGTCTACTAGTTGATTGGAGCGAGAGGACGATTTACTCGTAGCGACCGTGGGTAAGGAGAGAAAGAGGAGACACGAACCATAGTCTCGGCGCGGCGAAGGGGACTTTATCAGAACGTAGACGAGGGTGTGGATGGTTGCCGGTTGCTGGAGGCTACGTCGGGCCACGGCGGGGAGTGATGCATCCATCATCCATCACCCATCCATCCCACCAGGGCGGGCTGGCTAGCAGAATACGAGCTGGAGCCGCAGCACGGCTCGTGGATGATCTCTTGGTTGCCTTTCACCCATGTTCCCACCCAGCCATCGCACGAGATGAGGCACCATGTCGATATGCAAGGTAACAGTAGTGCCCTTGCTGTCAGGCCGGGCTACATCATGGCCATGGCATAGCTGCCAGTAAGCAGAAGGTTGCGCCGGTGGTCTACTAGCGAGCCCAAGGCCACTCACACCACGTAGGGCGAGTTCAAGGTTGACCAGTCACCGGTCAACCGTCGGTGATTCTGTCGAATTTGGGTACATGGCGTATAGGCGATGGTGGCGTCCGTCAGCTCGTACCGATGGCTAGTGTGATGTTCTATCATGACTTGGACGGACCAGGAATACAGCACTCGTAGAAGACGGGCGGAAGTTGACGGCGAGATATGGTCGCCGTGGTGAAGGAAACCACCCGGAGAAAGCCGGGTCTGTCAGAGACGGGAGTGACTCTGGATTGGAAGCAGTGCTCGAGAAGTGAAGGGCCCGGTGTTCCAGTGATGATCTCAGAGGGTGGAGATGGCACCAGGAACACGGTGGATAACTTGCTGGAAGAATCTGGAGGATCTTCAAGCATGAGGAGAAGCGGAGTTCGATGGAGCAAGGTTGTCGAGTTGATAACCCTTGCGTTGCTCCGGTCATTGGACGGTTGTTTCGACGTTTGTCGACGGCGCATCGGCCAGGTCCACAAGAGGCAGTTGAAAGTGGAGTTGATGGGTGAAGTTTCTTTGTAGGCTTGCAAAGTCTGTTTCTTTTCTTCCGCTGGCCGCCTCCAACGGTGCGGTTCGACGGCGTGGATGGCGTACAGTAGACGGGTGGACTCGAGGTTGGAATGACAACTCGCGTGGGAAGAAGACCGGCGGAAAATCCAAGAGGTCCCATCTTCCCCTTCCCAAGTTTCCCCCTGCCTCATGGCTTTCGCTTAGCGTGCTCTAGCCAGGGGTAGCCTAGCCTGTCGGATGACCGAGACGACCGATCAAAGCCAATCAGTGACAGCCTTAGCCAGATTGGGACGGACATGTGGGGCATCGCCAGCTCTATCCGGTGGGGCACTCGCTGCCTCGCTGGGCAACTGCCAACTCCAGGAAAGCATCGCGCCTTCCTTGTACAGGAGGGCACAGCTCGGCTAACACGGAAGTCGCCAACTGAGATGTTCTTGCCGTCAACCTTGGGCACCATGTTTCTTTTTTTTTCTACACAATTCTTCGAGACTTTGTGCGTCTGCCTACGTCCTGGGAAAGTTAGGTAAGATCGGTACGTATCTTGAATTTATGCAACCTGGAAGTGCGCTCTTGCATTCGCAGCCGCGTCTCCTTTCGCTTCCCCAAGGCTTCTTATTCTCCCGCCCGCATTCCTCGACGCTTAACTTTCCACTTCGCATGGGCTCGACCCAGGTAGCTTACCATGGATACTCAGCATGGTATTCAAGCTTATTGTTAGTCATTCTTATACGATGGGACAACAATCACCAGCTTCCAACCCCTACCCCTCCGTCAGGTGCTGGGCTGGCTCGCCGTTTCTTCCACCGCTAATCCCAATCAGGACACGACAACAGCGTGCTCTTAACTTTTCACTTTGGCCTCACGAACGCTCCCTTCTCGCTCAACTTACGAAAAGACCGAATTACGGCCATGGCCTAAGAAAAGAAACCAAGCTTGAGGCGTTTTGGCACCCTGGCCGCGCCTAATGCACAACGCTGCACTCCGTCGCCTTACTCGCCCGCCCTTTTCCGTCTTGTCTTCCTTGCAGCTCGCCGCTTGCTAGCTCGCTGTTCCCCTCACGCCGCCGCATCATGCGTTGCTAGGAGGGTTGCTACAACGCCTGCTGTCTTTTGCTCACTCGACGACCTCATTGGAAAAGATCTTTTATCATAGCGAGATGACGATGGACGCCCAGGAGGTAATTTCGCGCGGATTTCCACCTCTCCATCCCACCATCTCCTAATACTTACCCGCCTAGAGTATTGCTACTCACACTTGACTTTTCTCCGCAGACTGTCGGCACTTTACAGCATCATCCCACCATCTCTGGCACGTAGGCTGCCTGGCAAGGTCCGTCGTCGGCTGCCTTCGCCCGACCAACCACCTGGCTGAGTCACCTTATTGCGGCACAGCGCTGCGTCGTCACATCGTCGCTTGACCTAAATCTGACGATGGATACGAGAATCCCCTCACTTCCAGCGAGGGCCGCGGGGTTCCCGCCACTCTGCATCGCATCGCTTCGCCCCAGTTCTGACCGATCTTCGTCAACCAAAACAAGCTTTTGACCTTTACACCTGCAGTGAATCAAAGCGTTCTCACGACGATACTCACCGCAAGTCGACTGTGCCTTCGATGAAGTTCCACGGCCGGTCGATCCTTTATGTGGTCCCAGTTGTACGTACGTCGTCAGTTGCCA